CTGGCTCCTCGAGTGCCCGTTTAGAAGTCAGTTTGAGGTTTTTCATACATAATCCAAGTACTTACCTCATTTCTCCCCTCCTCCTATTGTTTCTAATTACTCCTGTGTCCCACTGTACTCTTTCTCAAATGCTTGGCCTCTTACACTTTAGTTATCCAACCTGCTGAGTTCATTTAGTTTTGCTAATATGCATATTCATTTTTGTCTGATTGCTTGTGATTGCATATCTTATCAGGGTGCTTGTGTTGGCTAGATTTTGTGTCATTAAATTAGACTCACAATGAAAGAGAGACCCTTCATTGAGAAAATGTCCCCAGCAGAATGTACTGTGAGCAAGCCTATGGTACAACTTCTGGCTTGATGATTGAGGTGGGAGGGTTTAGCTCATTGTGAGCAGTACCACTTCTGGGTTACTGGTTCTAGATGCTGTGAGTCCACAGACTGAGAAGGTAATCTGGAACAAGGCAGGGAAAAGCATTCTTTCATAGCTTTTCAATCAATTTCTGCCTCTATATTCCTGCTGTGACTTTCTAACCTGATCTCCCATAGTGGAAGTTGAGGTACAATGCCTAAGCATTTTTGTGCTCACTTATAAACACTAGGGAAACCAGGAATGTTATGCACACATGGTTGTCTCTTCAAAGGGAGAGATGTACAATCTGTTTTCTGCTAAAAAGGCTGGCCATGCAAGTGTGTAATAGTTTTGTGAGTTAGGTATTGTACATGAGAGAAGGCATGTAGTGTTTGCATTTCTCAATCTGAGTTACCTGCTTAAGTAAAGTATTTTCTATCTCTAGAAATTTACCTACAAATTTTATGTTTTCTTTCTTTGTGACTACATAGTATTCCACTGTGTATTTGTACCACAATTTTATTATTAGGAAACTGAAAGGCATTTTAATCTTTCAAAATGGCTGAGCAAGTATCTGTAGAGTAAAATGTCCAGTCCTTTCAGCACATATTGACCAGTGGTTTGGCTGGGTCTTATAGTAGATTAACTTGTAGCTTCTTGAGAATTTTCCACACTGATTCCTTTTACAGTGAATAAGGCTTTCATTTTTCATTCACTCTCTCCAGCATTGAAGTTGTCATTTTGAATGTGGTAAGATGAAATATCGAAGTTGTTTTGATATGCATGTCCCTCATAGCTAAGGATCTTGATATTTCAAAATATTTGATAGCCATTTTTACTTCTTCTTTTGCAAACCCTGCACAGATGAATATTCAGTTTTGAATTGAGTCATTTGTTGTATTGAATATTTGTTTTTCAGTCCTTTATATGATATGGATATTAATCTTTTTTAGATATACATTTGACAAAGACCTTCTTTCATTGAGTTGAGTGCTTATCCATACAGTTGATTAGTTCTCTTGCTGTGCAGAAGTTTTTTAGTTGTATGAGGTCTCAACTGTCAATTATTGTTCATAATTCCTCAACAAATAGAGTCTAACCAAATATTCTTTCCTACACATGTAAATTGAAAAATAATGCCTCACTTTTCTTCTATCATTTTTTGTTGTTTGAGGTTTCACATTGAAGTTTTTGATTCACTTAGGTATTTTTATGTAAAAGATTGTAGATAAAGGTCAACTTCATTCTTCTATACACTGACATTCAGTTTTGCCAGCCCGATTTACTGAAAATACTGTCTTTTCTCTAGTGTGTATTTTTGGCAATTTTCTGAAATATCACTTGGCTTTACTTAAGTACACACAATTTTGTTTTTTTTATATTATTCCCCTGTACTGAGCATGTTTATTTTTGTAGCCCTACAATACTCTTTTTAATTTGCTCTTCTATAAATATCTTAGAATCTGGAATGATAAACAATCCAGCATTATTAGTTTTATTCAGGGATATTTTTGGCTATCCTTGGTCATTTGTAGTTACTATGAATTTTAAGATGTATTCTTTTTTCATTCATTAAAAATTTCATATTATTTATATTGATCCATCTCTAATCTCCTGTATAAATACAAATTGAATATGGTGAATGATATTTTAGATGTATGCCTATATTTGCTTACAAATATTTAGCTGTGGAATTTTGAATAGATGTTCAACAAAAATATTGTTCTATAGCACTCTTTCTCTCTCACTCGCCCTCTCTTTTTCTCTCTCTGGTGTATTTCTTTATCTGGTTTTTGGTTTTAGTGCATTAATGGCTTCATAGGAGTTTGGGTATGTGCCTTCTCCCTCTGTGAGTGGAAAAATTTAAAAGTATTGCTTGTGGAACTTTGAAGGCCTTGTGGAATATTGCTGTGAATCAATATAAGCCAGACTTGTGTTGTTCTTGAAAGGATTTTTATTACTCTTTGGGTCTTTTGTTTGTTATGAAACTTTTTAGGGTATTATTCACCTCTTAGTTTGACTTTGGTGGGTTTTCTTATTATCTAAATTAGAAACAAGCTTGTTTAACATGTCAATCCCAATTCCCTCTCTCTCCCCTCCTCCCCTGCCTCACAGCAGCCCCCTATTCCATCCCCTTTCTGCTCCCTAAGGAGAGCGAGGCCTTCCATGGGGAATCTTCAACGTCTGTCATATCATTTGGAGCAGGGCCTAGGCCCTCTCCTCCGTTTCTAGGCTGAGAGAGTATCCCCCTATGTGGAATGGGCTCCCAAAGTCCATTCATATACTAGGGGAAAATACTGATCCATTACCAGAGGCCCCATAAATTGTCAAGGCCTCTTAACTGACACCCATGGTCAGGGGGTCTGGATTGGTTCTATGATGGTTTCCCAACTATCAGTGTGGGGTCCATGAGCTCACCCTTGTTCAGGTCAGCTGTTTCTGTGGGTTTCTCCAGCCTGGTCTTGACCTGTTTACTCATCACTCCCCCTCTCTGCAACAGGATTTCAGGAGTCTGACTCAAGTGTTTAGCTGTGGGTGTCGGCTTCTGTTTCCTTCAGTTACTGGATGAAGGCTCATGTTTGTCTTTTTGTGACTGGGTTACCTCACTCTGGATGATTTATTCTAGTTCCCTCCATTTGCCTGCAAATTTCAAGATTCCATTGTTTGTTTCCCCCCACTCAGTAATAATCCATTGTGTAAATGTATAACATTTTCTTTATCCATTCTTCAGGTGAGGGGCATACAGCTTGCTTCTACCACATGATCCAGCAATTCCACTCTTAGGTATATACCCAAATGATACACATTCATACATCAAGGACATCTGTTTAGCAATATTCATAGCAGCATTATTTGTAATAGACTTTGGTGGTTTTAATGTTTCTAGAAATTCATTCATTCTTTTAGATATTCTATGTTAACTGGGTACAGGGTTTGAAGTAATACTTTAAGGTATTCTGAATATCATTCATATCTTCTGTGGTCTTTCTCTGCTCAATGCTGAGTCTGTTGATTTAGGTTTCTTCCTTGTTTTTGTTCAAATTGATAAGAGTTGAATGTTCTAGTTTATAGTCTCATAAAGGAGAAAACCTACTCTTTCATTTACTGATTCTTAGTAACTCTTTCATTAATTTCAACTCTGTTATTTATTTTTTTCTTAATGAATTTGTTTGATTGGATTTTCAGATTCTTGAGTCTCATCACTTAATTACTTGTGACTTTTTTAATTTTTAAAATTATGTTTTGAGGTTATAATAATGTTTTATCACATTCTCCTTTCATTTTCTCCCTACAAAACTTCTTATGTACCCCTCCTTCCTATATTTTTAAAGATTTTATTTATTTATTATGTATACAACATTCTGCTTCCATGTATATATGCACACCAGAAGAGGGCACCAGATCTCATAATGGATGGTTGTGAGCCACCATGTGGTTGCTGGGAATTGAACTCATGACCTCTGGAAGAGAAGTCAGTGCTCTTAACCTCTGAGCCATCTCTCCAGCCCCAAAGGATGTCTTAGCCAGTGTTCTATTGCTCTAAAGAGACACCATGACCACAGCAACTCTGGAGCCTATCCTGGCACTCCCTCTGAAGACCAGGCTGGCCTTGAACACACAGAGATCTGCCTGCCTCTGCCTCCTGAGTGCTGAGATTAAAGGCGTGCACCACCAACACCCGACCCCCCTCCTTCCTATTTTTAATCCATTATTCTTTATTATTTCTTTATTCATTAACTTTTGTAATATATATATATATATATATATATTATGTATA